CCGACCTTTCTGATCGATAAATGTCTCCTGGTGATTGGAGCAAAGTAACCCAGCCAGCTTTCCTACCTAAGGTGGTACTAGAACTCACTGTCTCCTGGTGATTGGACCAAAGTCACCCAGCCGGCTTTCACACCTAAGGTGATACTAGAACTCACAGTCATCTGATGATTGGAGCAAAGTCAACCAGGTGGCATTCCTGCCTAAAAGAGAACTAGAACTCACGGTTTTCTGGTTTCTAGGCCAGCCTCTTCATCACTGCACCGAATTAGTGCTCCAAAGATCATAAACCGATCGCAAATTCAAAGTGCATTTTGAAGTAGATACTACATGAGCAAAGTCTGAACACTTCAATGGAACCGAAAATCAGAGGCTTAAGACCGCCTCTGAAACCTAAAATAAAAATTAAAGATTTATCTCCAAAGTGTGCCCCCTCCCAACCTCACAGCATGGGTTTTAATGATGAAGTCTGCAGTTGTTATTATTGGCACATCCATTATCAATTCTCAATAAAGCTTGAAGATAAGAGCGTTGTTTCCAATTTCCTCCAGTACAAAAACATCCTCGGCAATGTGGCCTCTACCTAGCCCACACATTCTGGGAGACAATATTTCACATTTCCTTGCTGCCTTGCATTGCAGAGATGCAGACTTGTGATTAATGGGCTTCATGCTCCTTCTTTTAAAAGCGGCATCCAAAAGGAGATGCAGCCTTGGGAAAAAGTTTTCGGCCAGGAAGAGAAGCTAAAGGGTGATTAACTCAGACAAACACCTAGGATTTGCATTTCCCCTTCTGCCTATAGAGCCAGCCATGACCCCATAGCAATCTGACAACAACCAATAGAATATTAAAGGACACGTTCTTGCACAGGAACAGGAAGCTCAAATACAAAGCCCAAAGAAGGGATAAAAACCCACCTACCCTCTCAACTCCATTTTGTCAATTGTCCCAGAACTGCACACTGCATGTGTGTTGGTTCTGTTCACCAATAAACAGAATGTTTCTTTTCAATCAGCCTCCATTTTATTCCCAGCTTGGGACTGGACTTGGATATTTCTCCCAACAGGTGTCAAAGAATTGGAAAGGTGTGTAAACAGAACAGGCCTTTGAACTATGGTGCTGGAGAAGACTCCCTTGGACTGCAAGGCAATCAAACCGGTCAGTCCTAGAGGAGATCAACCCTGACTGCTCTTTAGAAGGCCAGATCCTGAAGAGGAAACTCAAGTACTTTGGCCACCTAATGAGAAGGAAGGACTCTCTGGAGAAGACCCTAATGCTGGGGAAAAACTGAGGTCCAAAGAAGGGGACGGCAGAGAATGAGGTGGCTGGGTGGAGTCACGAAACAGTAGGCATGAGCTTGAACGAACTCCAGAGGATGGTAGAGGACAGGAAGGCCTGGAGGAACGTTGTCCATGGGACAGCGATGGGAATTCGTAACTAACAACAACGTAACAGAATGCAAGGTGAGGGTCCATCACCATCTTCTCAACAAAACACCAGCAGGAGTTCCCCCTATCACAATCTGGTCAGTTCAGACGTATTA